ACTACAAGAAATGAAGATTGAGTATAGTCAATTGAATGAAACAACAAGCAATATGGTTATCAGTGTCATTAGAGGAGTAACAAGAAATAAAACAATAACATCATTAACACTAGATGTTCCTAGTACTCCTCCTCTTCTACCTGATGGAGTAATAGAGCAGTTACTAAAGGACAACAACACGTTACAAGCTCTTTCACTGAACATACCTGATATTAACCTCCTACCATCATCACTGAACATAGTAGAGGTGAGCACACCACTGACTGCTCTAGAGATAGGAAGGTGGAGGAGTAGTAAACTGATGACATCACTCCTTCCACATATCAAAGGATTACACTGTCTGATACTACCTGATCCATACCCACCACATCTTCTATTTCTCTCTCATTCCAGTCTACATACACTTACTTTACCACTAGACACAGCTGAGAGTGCTATTGAACTATTTACTATTCTACAAACCAATACTACACTTAAAGCTCTGAGTGTGGAGATAAAAGAGGAGAAAGTATATACCAGCAGTATGGGTACTAGTCTACAAGACATGCTAACACAAAACCAAACACTGAAATACCTTGAGATTAGCGATGAAATTCCTAGTTCATTCCTGCCCTTCCTAACAACTGGTCTCATACACAACACCAGTCTACAGCAGTTGAGTGTATCCATTCCACTGAATGAAGAGGTAAGAGCTTTTATTAATGTTATCTCCCAAAAGAACAATGTCACAGAAATTGAAATGAGCTTTATACCAGATCAGTCGTACAGTAACTGTAGTGAGAAAGAGGAGGAACAAATAATGACACCATTGTTTTATGAACAGGTACTACCTGCTGTTACTAACATGTTACAGTCACATACAACCATCAGACTACTGAGGATAGTGTGTATATATATTATTACAGAGTCATCTCAACCTAACTGGATAGAACTAGTACAACATTTATATGAAGCTATCTTCATCCATCCATCACTTGAATATATTGACATTAATACTGAAAGTACTCTCCTGGTGGATACTCTTGAAGATCAAAAGAAGACATTGATTGATAGACACAGAAAAGAACAACCACACAAACCACTACCAATAGTGAATATTATTCACCACTAATTTCTATAATTAAATCTATAAGCAAATACGTTATAGTGCTCTATATTGGTTAAACTTCTGTCAATAATTTTTGAATAACTGTCAGAGTGTTACCTTGATATCATGCTTACATACATACACTGTACTGTACATGCATTATTTTAATTATGTTATTATTCCATTTTATTAAATGTAATTATAGTTGTGGTTTTACATGTGCTCTCCTTTTGTGGTTGTACATATATAATATTCCTTAGTGTGTGTGCATGCTTTCATTATTAATTACTCTCCTGTGTGATTCTCTCTTCTTTGACTTTATCCTCTCTTCATTCTCCTTTTTATTATTATTTGTGTTAAGATTATAAGTGCCAATTGGTGTTATCATCTTATTCATTTTACACAATAATATAGATCTACTACATTTTGTTTGCAGACTGCATGACTCCTGATAGACTGGGTACTATGTGCCTGAAGGATATTTATGTTGCAACTGGAAGTGATACATAACACAATGATAAATGCAAGAATGAACTCTGCTCTATTTTTGTATCACAGCTTATTTGTGCACACAAATACTTTTCAACCAGCCTTAAACCTGCATGAGCCATTGGTTAATTCGTTTCTCATTCCTTGAAAAAAAAGCTTGTCTAGTAGACCCAAAATTCATAATGAAACAGAGCACCTCCCAGGCAGAAAAACTAATAGCTACATGCTTAACCTTACATGCTGGGCAATGTAATATATACCATCCACTTTTCTAATCTAAAAGATACCCTCACATGCAAAATTGCATGTATATTAAGTAACGTATGCCTTTGTTGTTCATAGATGGATTCATTATATAGTTATTATTAAAACTATAATACAATGAAATGGTATACGATACTTTATAACATTAGTCTATAGTGTGTTCTGCTTCTTGTTGCTATTTCTATGATGACTGGAGTAGTTGCTTCCTCTCTTCTTCATAGCTACCAGAATCCATTGAAAACTGTAACGGCTTATACACAATACCCTGCAATAAAAAATGATAACAATGATAATAATAATAATAATAACAACAACAAAGGCACTTATTAATGTGCAAGGGAGCAAATAAAATAAATACTTGTCAGGAGCTCTATGCCATCAATAACTCATAACTTATTACCAGTAGCATACAGTGAAGCTTGCATGATGGCACAATACTATTTCTCTCAATTACCATAATGTACATGTAACTGTTTTTAGTGGAGTGGTTAGAATAAAAATGTGTACATGTATGTCAACAACATTAATTATGAATCATGTAAATTAGTGATACTAGTAGTAATACAGTAGAGTGGTTATTACTTGTCTAGGCATTGCTGCTAGTACGTTGGTGATGTGTAGCATTCTACCATGACCTGCTGAACACTCAAAGTATCTCTTTCCTTTATAAATACCATTCATGTTACCAGCTACAGGAATTAATAAAAAATAATAAATACACACAATATTGCTATTATAAAAGTGATGGGCAAAACACTTTAATATAGCAAAGTTTCTTTGGCATTTTGGAATTAAAATGACCCCAAAATATTATGTACATGTACATAAATGTACATGTACAGGTATTACTTTCATCGCCCAGTTAAAACCAGCTATACATCATGTACATGTACAGTTGTACATTCATTATTGTACAGTACCTGGTTCATCAAGTTTAACTCCAACATATATTCTATTATCAACGTATTCCTTGTCTACTTTACCAATGTACTTTATAACACCAGTTAGCTTCTGTGGCTCCAAATCATACACTGAAATAATAATAACAATAACAACAACAATAATAATAATAATAATAATAATAATCACTAGTAGTGTAACAATGTAGTGTATAATGATGCATAAATATAGGCCCATGGTTTTTTTCAAAAAATGGCTCTGCAATCACCCCAAATTTTTATTACATTTTTTGATGTATATTGATGCCCTAATGCTATGTAGAAAATTTGAGCTGATTCCGACTTCAATTTTTAAAGTTATGTCCATTTTTTAAAAACGGCCAATTTTTGAAAAATACCCAAGGCTATAGCCCATGGTTTTTCTCGAAAAAATGGCTTCGAATTCACCCCAAATTTTTATTATATTTTCTGATACATATTGATGTCTTTATGCTATTTAGAAAATTTGAGCTGATTCTGACTTTAATTTTTTGAGTTATGACCAATTTAATTATAAAAAAATCTGATTCCCTTAAAATACATGTACATGTACATGGTGTATATACATGTACATGTACATACACACATACATGTAGTGCCTATACAATGTACATCCTTTCCTCCTCCTCCTCCTCTTACTTGATTTCTTAACTTGTACTAGTACACGTTGTCCCAGTCTAAGTTGTTTTGCTAGTTCCTCTTCTCTCCTGTCAGCTTCTTCTCTCAGTCTCTCCAAACCTGTCTTACCAGTTAGACCAGGTAAGTAATCTGGTCTCTTGATTTCACCTCTACCAATAATAATGATAATAATGATAATAATGATAATAATAATAATATCAATAATAATAATAGTAATAAATGATCTTAACAGTCAAAGCACCATGCATTGAGAGCTGCATGTACATGTAAGCTATTTAGGTACTGTACATGTACATGTACTATACTAATTACATGTACATGCATTTGTATTGCAATAAAAATACATGTACATGTACATGTATTATGCATACTTGTATGCATAATTATTATTAATAGTGAAAATGGACATTTTTGATTACTTTACATTTAAAAATATAATTATTTCATTTTAATTTTTCCTCCTTACCTGTTAGCAGCACAGACTTCACAGTCACATGAATCATTATTTGATTTCTTCTTAATCAAACAATCAACCTCTTTATATCTTTGCTTCACGTCCTTACTAGTTACTGTCCTAAAATCAGGTCTACTTCTTCCTATTGGGGGCAGTCTAGGAACAGACTTTGCCTAAATACAATAAAAGACATGAACAGTAAGTGATGGTAGCCCTTCTCTACTTTGCATACGCACATACATGTACATGTACAGTGGAACCTCTGATAATGAACTTCTCTGTAACAAAAAACCTCTATGTATTGAAAAAATTTGATGCACTAATGTCATTCCGTATTAATTAAAAAACCTCTCTTTAATGAAACCTTCCATGCAATAAAAAAATTTAGTGTCCCAGAAGTTTCATTATTCAAAAGTTCCACAGTACATGTACATGTACATGTACTTCATAGTGCAGCTTAATGTAAACGTACATGTATATCTAATGACACTGTAGCTATTAATTTATTTTTCTCCTCTAAACCTTATACACTTACCTTAATATGTCCCTTCTTCTTAATGATGCTCCTCCTGTTGATTCCTCCATTGTTATGAGGGCCAGTGGTGAGTGTGTGGTGATGGGTGGGTGGTGTACTGAGAGGATAATGGTAAGAGAGGGAGAGCATGTCTCTCTGCTCCTCATACAAGTCATCAAACTGAACTGCAGGAGCACTAACTGGCCTATGTACATGTACACAATAATATACAGTACATTAATAATAATAATACTGCATAATTCTATACATGTACATGTACATGTATACATGTATAAGTACATGCAAGTAGTGTTTGAATAAAAATCATTTTGTAAAAGGATGAACTGCTGGAGCACTGACTGGCCTACATGTACATGTACATTAGAAATACGTATTAGTTAAGGTTACGGGATACCTTTCTAACCGTAAATCTTTTGATCCTTAAAATTAAAAATGTAATTTTAAAAAGTGGGTGGAGAGTCACGAGTTATCTCATTGGCTTATCTATTTATGGCTATGCGCTGCCCTGCATCAAAAGGAATGGACTTTTATAAATCAAAAATAAGCTCAACTGGGCCATATTTTACATGGTTCTCCAAGTAAATATTTTGCTAAGTTTGATATCTAGGTCGTGTCGTGGCATTCTTTTGGCTGGACTTAGTAGAAACGGAGATAGTCACACCATAGATCTATTTGGCGGCCATTTTAGTGCGTTTTTTCAGCATTCTTGACTGATTTTCTGAGGTTAAGAAGAAAGAAAGCAAAAAATCTCATCGTGACGACCTTCATTTTTGCCTCAAGAAGATCGAGCTAACATTTGTTTTAGAGACTTTTGTTGTTCAGGACTAGAGATTTTTGATTTATAAGTGTTTATAATTAACCCAGCCTATATCAAGTACAGTCATTCTGTATAAGATGAACAGATTACCTTATATAAGAAATAAATCATTAAAAATGATAGTAGTAATGAAAGAAGTGTCATTTTTAAAAAGATAACAAATAAAATAACAATTAACTACAGCTAATTAATTATTCATAAACTGTATCCCGTAACCTTAAAGCACTGTTGAGAGTAGGTTACGGAAATTATTGCACGAGGGGCGGTCGAGAGGAAAATGTAGCACGAGGCGAAGCTGAGTGCTACATTTTTGTCGAGACCGTCCCGAGTGCAATAATTTCCGTAATCTACGAATCAACAGTGCTTTGATTGGTTTGTAGTGGTGCGTGGGCGGATCAAATGAAATTTCAAAAGTCGCGCAGGTGGCCAGCGCAAGACGATCAGATCTCATTTATCACTATTATTATTGTTAAATGTCTAGTGTATGTAGCTGAGGCTGTTATTTGCCTCTATCAAAGCTTGTGGTTAACAGGAAAGCCCATACATATTATACTGTGCAATACTATATATTCCACACAGTGCTACATTTTCCTACCGTGCGGTTATTGGAAGTTGTAGCACTGGCGGCGCCTTTGATCCGCCCACGCACCATACTACAATGTATTGTATTGTTGCTGGTAATTTTGGAGGGGGAAATTTTGACAAATTTAACATTTTGATATAGTCATTCGCCAGAATAAAACCAAACCATTTTGAACCATTATGCACATGCTGAATGGCACATGACCCACAAATTTGTAAAATTAAAACCAATCTACCGTA